ACACTACATATGCTGGGGTGTGAATTTGATAGGTGCTTGATATAAAATAAATGGTGCTTTAAAAAGTCCTTGAAAGTCCTTGAATCTGGTGTTCATGAAAGAGTGGGAACCTTGAATAATACAAAAGGTTAAACCATATTAAGGTACAATAACCAAAACAAAACAATAATAATAATTCTAAAAATAAATAAAAAGCAAAAAATAAATAAAAAATAGAAAAATATAATGAAAACATATAATATATATAAAATTCTCAGCCTTTCATGAACCTCTTGACCTAGCTATTTGCCCCTCAGCCCATTCTATCTCATACATTATAAGTAAACCAGTTATTCAGTAAAAAGGAATGCTTATTCAAATAAAAATCTTCCCCTAAATATAATCTCTTGTAAACTGGTTGGAAGATGTTCCATAACAGGCCCCCACATCTATACAAACATGGCTCTGTCTCCACTAACCACTGCAGTTAGTCTCTCCATAGGCAATATTCTGAAGATCTCTCGATACCAAAGGGAAAGTGATGGGGGTCTAGAGTGAATCCACTCAATAAGGATGCATTTTCTAGCGAGTAACAGGAGCTTAATCGCAGAGTAGAAACCGGTTAGCGGTTAAAGCAATGTCTTTTGCTGGCAAGCCAGGTAAAAAAAACAGGGTCCTTGGTAAAGTTTATTTTAAAAATATCCCCCATCTTCCGTGCCACCCCATCCCAAAACTTTGTGATGACTGGACAGTAGCGCTTATTTGATGACAGCCATTACCGGGAAAACCGCTATATCTCCCGCTCCCATAGCGCCTCCTGCTGGCAGAGAATGAATTTGCAAGTTCATGCATGATATATGATATACATTTTTGGTCATACCGCCCAGCACTAATCTGTATTATATCACGGTATTTTTCAAAATTATACCCGTTTCACGGTACATGACGGTATTTTTTTTTCATGCATGACCGGGTGTTAACCATATTTTCTACTGATTGAGAGGAAATACTGCAGTATATTGACTTAGAATGCCCTATTTTACTGTCATGATGAGTGATTATTGTCAAAAAATACCACACTAAATAGTGACTAAACACGACCCTTTTTAATACATGTTAACCAGGAGTCACTCTCATTTATAATTGCGGCATCGTCTGATAAAATCAACATGCAACTATACGCGGTTGTTTTGGCTATATTACTTTTTTGTCTCATGCAGCG